AGAGTTGGAGGACTGACCCCGAATGCTGACCCTGATTTCTGCGGACACACAGCTGAAGAATTAGTACAGACATTGGGTGACAGAGTCAGAATCCGGGACGTCACCAGCAAATCATTGTAAATGAAAGGAACAGGGAGATTCCATTTTTCTTTACCTCTCAGTTAAGTAAAACTGAAGACGATAAAATGCATTATTGGTGAGTGGACGGACAAATGACTATCCTGTATACCTTTTGCAGGAATGTAAGCTCATAGAGATTTTCCGAGAGCAATGTGACAACATCAACACTTTAAAGAAAGAAACCCTTTGACTCAGCATCTGCACTTGTAGAAGTTTAATTTATTATAGGGCATACTCACACAAGTGAAGATAAATATACAAGGACTTTAAAAATTGAGATAATGATGACAACTGGAAATGACCAAAGTGGCATTTAATAAGGTAATGACAAAATAATGATACACACTCACGTGGGCTGTGTTTCCCCTAATGTAAGATTAAATTAGACTCGGTGCCCGGCACAGAAAGATGCCCAAAATATATGATGCTGAAAGACAGGGTGGGCAGAGTAGAGGGAGGGGAAGAGGCAGGCTCAGCCATTCATAGCAAAGGTCAGCCACGCTGACGGGCATTTGTCCAGCTGTCACTGTGTGTGTCTGTCACCGTCCTCCCATCCGTGCTCTGTAGCCCAGCCCTCTTATCTCCTCAGGGATCCTCTCTCTTCTTTCTGCTCTGTCTGAAAACAGATTCACATTTTTACATCACAAAATAATAGATCCGCCTTGGAGGCTTCATTATCAGATATCAATATAAACAAATTCCCATGTAGCACTTAAAGCAGAATTGACACATCAAGACGACAGCACAGAGTCCAGAAGCAAATAACAATGCTTGAAAATGTTTGAAATATAATAATGGTGACAATTCCAGTGGAGGAAAGAAAAAAATGGTTCAATAAAATTTACCAATGAATGGTACTGGATACTTGACTAAGTATTTAGGGCCCCCCAAATGACCCTATGACATAAACCAAAATTAATTCCTGGTGAATCAGATAATTGACTGCAGAAAATATATCTGGAGAAAATAGGTGAAAAAATGTATATAGTCTACTGTAGGAAATACTTTTTCTAAGTATAATTTCATTGCAAAAACTACCAAGAGAAATGTCCATGGTCGAACAACATAAAAATCTTAAAATGTGCATGTAAAAAATTCTCAGAACAGAATTGGCCTTAACTGAATCCAACTTAACATCGCCAATCGTGGGGGATGCTGGCATTCCGTGCCCTCTGGTGTACTCACCAATGTGGCACTCCTGCCAAATATTAACCTGCACTGAACCACAAGAAATCATAGACAAACCCCAGCTGAGGAGTGGCCTGCACAATTGGCATGGACTCCTCAAAAATGTCAGTGTCATGGAAGATGAGATGAGAAAGCCTACGAACTGTTAGAATAAAGGAGGCTAAAGGGATGTGACTATTAAACACAATGCATGACCCTCGATTTGATTCTTGATAGGGAGCAGGATGTGGGATTGCGGGGTGGGGGGGGGGAAGCAGTTGTAAATAAGAGACCTTATTTGGACAACGGGGCAAATTGGAGTATGACTATATGTGAGCTAATGGTATTGTATCGATGTCAGATTTCCTGGGTGTGCTCATGACACTGTGGCTATGAAGGAAGGCAGGAACAACAAATGCTAATCATTGTTACGTCTGGTATAGTATGAGAGGGGATTTTAATTTTTTTTTACTATCCATATTTTCTAGTTTTTCTATGGTGAGCATGAAGTATTTCTATATAATAGTTCTATAAAATTCTCTGCTTGCCTCCTTTGCTTCCAGATTCAAGTTTCTGGAAGATGGGGCCACCCTTATCATCCCCACCAATCTGCTGGATATGGGCTATGCCAGGGGGGCCCTGAAATTGGGTGAGGCAGCCCTCTTCAGCCAAGGCAAGTCCCAGGGAGGCCTGAGCAGAGAGTGAGGGAGTGCCAGCACTCCCACTAGCCGGGGGCATGGCCCTTCAGTCCTGGAGAGGGGGACCGACTGCTTGTCACAGAGGAACTGCACAGTGGTTAACGGTGCCACATTTGCTTTATTCCCCACCCCCATTTTTCCTAAAACATTTAAGAGTTACCGACATCATGACACCTCACTCTAAATAATTCTTAGAACTAGAGCATTGTCCTTCACAGCCCGTGTTTGCTGTATCCCCAGGGCCTGGCAAGGTCACAGGTCCTAAGCGGCACCTAGGAACGTTTGTTGAGTGACTAAGGAGGTCAGTAGGGGAGCCCATACCCCTGGAGAACTAAAGCATCACTTTAGAGGACAAAGACAAATCAGCAGGTCCCTGGAAGTCCTGCCCCCCCAGAAAGAAGGGCAGTGTAGGTGCATGGCATGGCCAGAGCTCCGATCAGACTCCTTGTGGACTGTGGTGTCTCTAGCTGACCACACTGTCCCTGAGGCCCAGAGCATTCCTCCCAGGGCAGTGGGAAGGGGGACGACTCTGCAATGTGGTTTGTGTTACTGCGGCTTCAGCCATGGAATGGGCTGCTTGAGTCAGGCAGGAAGCAGAAAATATCAGATTTAGATCCCGCATTCCATGCATTGTGTACAATTATCCACTGGAGCCACCTAGGAGCACGCGGGACCCACAGAGGCAGAAAACGGGATTGCTCTCGGGGTCGGGGTCATTTTCATGGGGAGCCAGTTGCATTCTTGGCATGCACCAGGCATGCCAAGTCCCCTGTGGTGTACACTCAGGAACCCTGGGGCCAGGAGTAAGGCTTATCTGCGGGCAAGGCACTGGTGACAGGCATGCTGCCACCTTCATCAACAATGGGAGTCTCCTTCTTCACAGCCCCCCACCTGTGCTGCCCTGGAACATACGTGCGTCCCTAGCCCTCCTGGGCTGTCTTCTCCATGGGCTCACTGGTGGGCCAGCCTCACTCAGCATCAATAGCTTCCTACCCGTGACCCCACACCAGCTTCCTACCTGTGACCCCTCCAGCCCAGGCCTGCCTCCCTGAGGCAGATCCAGTCACCTCGACCTCCCCAGGCCCTCAAACGCCACCCGCCCAAAACAGAACTCAACACCCCACCAAAAGTGTGTCCCTTCTCCAGATGTCCTGCCCCAGAGAGTGGTACCACCATCCAGATAGACAGGCAGGTAGGCAGGCCAAGCGGGCAATATACTGGGTCCCCTGCAGAACTTCCATTCATTCATTCACTCATCCTTTCATTCATTATTGCTCATCTTGTCTACAAGGGTGGGGAGAAGCTCGGGGAGTGCGTGTCCTTAGGAAGGGGGAAAAGTGGGTGTCCAGGAAGGTACCTGGAGAGAGGGAGAGGTCTGTATGCATGGATGGTGGGGGTGTTAGCAGCTCTCTGAGAGGGAAGCTTTGGGTGACAAAGACTCTCCTTGACCAACTTTAGACTCCTCTGAGCCCTCTCCTCCGCTAGGCCTTGACCTTGGCCCCTGAACCCCTCCCTCTTGGCCTGCCTGGTCCAGTCTTAGTAAGAATGCTGCTAAGTCAGTTTAGAGAGAATCCCTCCTCTGGAAATCTGATCACCCTGGATATCTGATCAAGTTCCTCATCCCCCTCCTTTGACATATGAGTCCTTGGCCTGCCTTCAGCAACAATCCCCCAGCTTTGCGCTCTCCTCCCATAATTTTTTGTCACCTACCCTCACTCTGCTCCTTGGCTGTAAATGCCCACTTGTCCTTGCTGCATTCAGAGTTGAGCCCTATCTTCCTATCATGCTAGTCTTGAATAAAGTCTTCCTTACTGTTTCAACAAGTGTCAGGATAACATTTCTTTAGCAGGGGAGAGGAAGGACACACAGTTTTCAGAAGCTTTTGTTGGGAAGGTCACTTTCAGCCTCTTTCAGGAAAGCCACTGGAAAGCCTCTCAAGTCAGGCTGCTGTTTCTTCAGCTGATGCTTCACAAAGGGGTCTAGCTTATCTTGTTTGCTGGGTTATACATCACCGCATTGGACCCTCCTAACATCTCTCCAAGCATCCATAGGGCCATACACACAGTGCCAAAAAAAGTATACACATTTTAAGAAAGTAAAACTGCATCAAAATTATAATACTCAATATATACCGATAACGAAAGATGAATACAAGTCACGTTTGACTTCTGCAATTACAAGAGGTGCTCATAGTGGTTACCATCAGCATCCAGACACCTCTGATTATGGCAAACTACTGCTTGAGCAACGTTGACCAGTGTCCACTTGTATCCATTTTTTTGGCACCCCCGATATATATATATCCCTTAGAGATGTAGCCTTTCCTCTAGATAATCAGCAGTCCCGAGGCAGCTGAAGACAGTAGCTGGAACCTGACTAATGATCACCAGGTCTGGACCTAGGACAGGGTAAAGACAACAGCTTGACCTCAGTTATGTGTCAGCGTCTGAGCCCTAAGGTAGAACAACCCCCTGGCTACTTTCCCAAGAAACCAGACAGAGGGACGCTGGTACAGACTTCAGAACTGCCCTCAAGACCTGCAGAGATGATTTATTACCCTTACCTCCTAACCCATGGAGTCCTGTGATTTTGCCCTATATAATCTGTAACTTACACACCATCCGGGAGCTCTGGCTTTTGAGCATTAGGGCTTTTGACATTAGTTTCCTATTTTCCTGGGTAGCACCATTCATAATAAAATAGCCAACCTTTCTCCACTGTAATTCTCTGTGTTTAGTGTTTGGCTCTGCTAGCGCTGGGTGGAAAAACTTTCTTTTCCATAACATTACTAACAATGCCGGAGCAACAGGCGCAAATCAAGTTCCGTTACCAATAGGAAAGCCTCGCTTTCCTTGCGCACCACGGGGCACCCTGTTGTCTCTGGACGGTAGCTCTGGCACGGGAGGGCATGTAAAGGCCGCGGGGGCGGGATTTCCAGAAAAGCCTGGAAACGCACCTCGCCTCTGGCCCAGCGCGGCGGCCACTAGAGGGCGGGCAGTGCGCCCGGGGCGGGGACTCGGCGACGCCGGCGCTCGTGGTCCCGTGACCGGTCGCGCCCAGCCCGGAGACGTCGCCGTCATGCAGTCCCCACCGGTTCTCGTCACCTCCAGGTGAGCCAGACCCCTGCGCCTGGCGCCACGTCTTGCACAACGTGGAGTCCAGGTGCTCGCGAGCCGAGACCCGATGCGCCCGGGCGGAGCTGCAGGCGGAGGGCGGCGGCCCCGGAACCGCGGCGGGTCGGGCTAACCCTGCGCTCTGGCCGTTTCTTTAGGCTCGGCCCCTCCATCGCTGTACTGGAGAGGTGGGCGGCATCGAGTGTCCCTATTCTACAGATGGGGAAACTGTGGCCCCTAGAGGGTAATGAACTCAAGACCCTGTGGAAGGGAACCCTCTTCGCTTCCCTGCCGACTTGCGTCCATTTCTTTTTGGCCCCCCCAACCCAGTTCCGCATCCCTTTGTGCTCACGTGTGCCAGGCCCAGTGCTTAGCCCTGGGGACCTGACCAGTAAATCGGACAGGGCCGGGTCCTGCAGGGAGAGACACGGAGATGAACGCAGACCTGCCAGGGGCAGGTGCTGGAACGGGTAGTAGGTTCAGGTTGCCATAGGAACGCAGTGCAGGAATGTACCCAGGGTTCTGGGAGGGGGTGAATGAGGCCAGTCCTGCAGGAAGAGTGGATTTTAACCACTGAAGTGGGGAGAAAAGGGAGCAGCCCTCAAGGAGGTAACTCAGGAGAAGTGGAAGTTATGGCAGAGACCGTGGAGGGGGGCCCTGGGAAGTGGAGGAGGCAGTGTGGGCGCCCCCTGGCCCAGGCCTGAAGGACCCAGGGCAAGATGGATCCTGGAAAGTGTGGCATTACTTTTCTTTCCCCCCTTTTAATATCTGTAAAGTGGCCCAGTTCAAGTATTTTCATCTACTCCACCCTTGTCCCCCACAGATGCCAATTTTATTACATAAATGTGTTACCCAGCTCAGCTGCTATTTTCCCAGCTGTAACTGGACTTCCCTATTACTTCAGGCCTAGAGAAACAGGATTCTTTAAGTAAACCCTGATGGGACAGGCTGCTTGGTCTCCTCTGCATGGTACCGTGAGGTTGCAGGTCG